GTAGTTTTTCTTGTTGTAATTGTTGCACCGTTTTGCTGCTTTGATTAATTGAGTTTCTCGCCGATTGAAAAACGATTTTTCCAAAACCACTTTTTCTTCCTGACGTCAACTCTTAAAACTATTTAGGTACATGCGCTCGCTCGTTTGTATGTTTGTAGGTATTGCAATTCTGCTGTGTGCGCTCTTGCCTTTCGATAGTTGCTGATAAATCTCAACGCATTACTCGCGTAATGGGGTGCCAATTTTAACTCGTTTGACGGCAAATTTCTGGTAATTTATTTAAAAGTCAAGCAGGCATATAAATTGCGAGTTGGTTTTATTTTTTTATTATTTTTTTATTCGATTTGTGATACTCTCATTCTATACTTCAATTGAGCTTGTAAGCATTATTAGAGAAGTCCAGGCATGTTTCATGAGTGTTTATACATACATATGTACATTTGTAGTTGTGGTTGTAAGTTATGATGTATCAATAATGAATTGAAGTTGTAATTGAGTTAATTAAATCGATTTTGACTGATTAACCGTATGAAAGTAAGTTAGTTTTAATGAATCTCGTTAGTTTATGAAAAATTTGAAAATTCTCTTATAACTAGTTTTAATAGCTTTAAACTGCGAAGCCAATTTACAGTCAATGATTGAAATCCATTGAAACGGTGGAAATGTGAGTGGTAAATTTATATTTGCGTATAAAGCAGAGCTGTGTAAGTGTGAAATCATTTTCAATTTTAAATCAACAATTTTTTTCTATCCAGTTTTCATTACTTATTCTTCGCTTAGGATTGAGGTTTAAAATTTTTGAATTTTCCATTCTCTCAAAGCAGTTATGAATTCACACATCAACATATTCATAGCAAGATTGAAAAAACCAATGCCCAATCAAAAAAAGGTTTTACACTGAATGAGTATTGAAAAGGCTGCAATCTTTTATGTGTGTGCATTCTTTAACTCAGTACCAATCATTAGGGCTGCAATTTAGTTTGGCATCCCCGGAGTTCGGCATTAAGAAGGGTATGGAACGATAGAGGGAGTTCTCCTGATTGTAAATATATATACTTTTAGCCGCAGCAGACTTATAGATTTTAAGTTATTTGTTGTTAAAGTTAGTAAATTGAACTAACCTCTCGACGCTATTTCACACAATAAACACTTTATTTATGTACACACTTCGGCAAAATAGTTGCATTAAAAGCCAGCACAATGAAATGTAAACATATTTTTTAAATTTATAATGTATTTTTACTAAATTAAGTAAGTTTTAACAATTATCACGCACTTATATATGTATACGCACATTGTGAATACAGAACTGTTGATTCAACCATGGTTTCACACTGACATTAGAAGGGTGCTGCCACATCTAACAAAATAACACCACACATCTAATAAATAAATATGTTTTTTTAAACCATATGTTAAAAAGTGAAAATTTTTAATAAAAAATCGCGCGATTTTTTATTAAAAATTTTCGCCTGCGGCGCTTTTTTCATAAAAATCAATACTTCGATAAATAATGAAAATTTTTAATAAAAAATCGCGCGATTGTATCGCCGTTCGGCGTCGGCGTAGTTTGTAGGTCCCGCCCATTTGTGTGACAGCAAAGGCGCACGCTACAAATCGGAGGAGAAGCTCGGCCAAAACTTAGCAAAAGTGTCAAGGCCAAGATATGATTATTATAAATAAATTTAGTTTCAAACAGGTCGCAACCCTCTTCAAACACCTCAAAAGTATCCCCAATATTATTTAGTTGTAAACCCGCATGAGTCCGAAATTAACATTTTTTAGCAGAATTTCCAGATTTTACCGGAAATCGTACATGGTTTTCTGGCAACTGAGAGGACAAATAAGAGAGTAAGTAAGGTCATCTCTTTGTCAGAAGCTACCTGGTGGTAAATTCTGGTAAATGTGTCAAAAGGTCCGATGTAGTGTGTTTGACAACCAAATTGTAAACAAAATAGAAGTTCACTCTGCTAATGCATGTTGAAAAGTAAATAATTCCTTGCTTGAGTGGATGCTAATGAGTTTTGGTTAAATTACAAAACGCTTAAAAAGGTATTAGCCGTCATTTTACGTTTAAAAACTTTAAAACTTTAACACATTACCACCCTATACTCTATATGTGGTTGACGATTGAACTAAATCGTTGTTTATTTGGGTAAGATTAAAATATATTTTACTATTCAATATTGGAGTTGGTGTGAAACAAAAATTAATAATTTATTGTTATGTATGCAAATGAGAACTACAATTCTGAGCTTATTGAGCATCTCTTAGTCAAAAACAAAGGCAATTTTGCTTGATCCAGTTTCGAATCTAAGAAGAAAATGTTTTTAACAAACAAAAGGTTAATAAGAAAATTTGAAGGATTTAAGATATTGCGTATGGTAGCATGAGACGTCACAATCTTCTTAATTGTCAGGCTGTTGATATGGCTACGAAAAAGTGACAATGGAAACACATAGCTGAAGATTTCCATGATAAAAACATTACAAGGTAAATTCATTCTCTCAATTCGTCGGCCATGATTTTGTTCTGACGTTTGCCAACATTTTAAAATCATATAAAATTGAAAATAAAAAAATTAAATTGTTCACAATTGTTGTTGTTTGAGATTGAAAATGAGAATGTGTGTGTGAGTTTGAGTTTTGATTTTAAAACTATATTGTTGGCAAACGTCAGACTGCCTCTCAATGGTTTTACCTTGTTATGTTTTTATCATGAAGATTTCATACTTACAGTGGGATAAACTTCAAACCTCTAATATAAATTAGTTAAATTTAGTTATTATTTTTTTTTATCAGTTTTAAGTTTTCGTTTGGAACAATTTTCATGAACTTATCTATTAGGAGATCTCTTTGGAAAATTACCGTACATCCGATATCTATTGAAATTTTGACATCCTCACTTTTTGGAAAAAGAAGTTCAAGATACAAGTTTATGTGCAAAAAATAAATTAAACAATAAAAGTCTCCTTATATTTATGGAACTTAAAATAGAAAAATTTTTATATCATTACCCAGACTTTATGAATAGCCTACTCTATAAGTAATAGTAGAAATTCCGAATTAGTAAGTTCAGTCAAGACGTCATTCAAAAGTTTTGAAGAAAATCACTTTTCTCTTTTGTGAAAATTTGTGACTATCTTATGCGAGTATTGTCGACAAAATGTTAGTCTATGAATGACTAAAAATTAACGAATAAATGTTTAATCGCGATTAATGATTAAAATTAATTAGGCGATCGCTGTGGTGTAGTGGTTAGAAGTGCGCACTACCATTCCGCAGGGTGAGCATCCGAGCCCATTTCCGGCCAACAAAAAAAAATAAAATGTTTTTTGTAATAGTGGTCGGCCCCCGGCAGGAGTCGGCGTAAAACTGTAGGTCCCTTCCCTTTGTGCGACAACATCAAGGCGCATGCCACAATCGGAGGAGTAGCTCGGCCAAACACTAACATATGTCGATGGTCCTCTGCAATAACGGCGCAATTCAAAATTTCAGGTTTAGAAAAATACATAATTTGAAAGCTTACAGTATGACTGCATATAATCCGGAATAATTACGTTCCAAGACATATTATTGCTAAATTACGAAACAAAAAATCTTTAATTGGCTCTACTGAAATATATGAAATTTTTAGTTGTGTCGATATGTAAGCGCCTTTCTATTATTATTAGTAATCATCAACACAATTTCAAATTACATAAACCCAGTCACAGCCCTTTTTTGTATTCAACGCTTCCAGAAATCACATAATAAATAAAATAAATAAAAGCTGTTTTGATTAATATTACATAAACTGGAAACTGTTAAAAATAAGTGCGCTTGAGTACATAGATTAGAACCCATTTAGTTCCTAAAATGTCTGTTTGCAACACATAACAATAAAAATGCACATCAAATAGCTAAGAATGATGAAGGAAATCGATTCAGACATGCCTGTTTAACTGGCCGTGCGTTCTCAAAACAAACACATGTTAATTAAGGGGCTATTCAAGTATTATGTAACCAGTGGGACGCGGGGGTCTTGGTTTGCTTATTTTAATGACAAAATTTCGATCACAATTGAACACTGCACTTCACTCTCGTTTCGAATTTTCGAAAGCGTTTTTTAAGCTATTTATGGGTTTAACACTTCTTGTGGGCACTTGATATTGTAAAAAAAATATGCGCAATTCGATCCCTAACTACATTTTTTTGTAAAGAAAGCCCGTTTGCTTTAAATTAGAAAAATACAATTATTTTTTTATTTTGTATACATCTGTCATTTGTTACAAATGAAGAAGAGTCCAAGAGTTGCCAAGTATAAATATCTTTATATCTATTTATTAAAATAATAATTTATTTAATTAATACTTTATTAAAATACAAATTTGAAGTGCAAGTACATTTGTAAAACTGTTTATCACAAAATGTTATTAATTGTTTGCAAGCATACTATAGTTTTCATGCATTTTGAGAATAAATAATCTAATATGTGTACATATAAATCGTCGTTTAAAGTACAAAACCGCGTATCGTCATTCTGCAAAACCGTGTGACTGACATTGGCTGCCAAAAATTGGATTTGCTCACAAAAGCTCTTGGCTCAATTCTTATCCATTCGTCCTGAAATATACTAGCCAGAGATACGTTTGCTTTATAAAAAAGATAACCATTTTGAAATATGGGTGACTTTACTCTCTAGAAAATAATTTATGCAATTACGCGGTTTTGCATTTTCTTGATACGCGGTTTTGTACTTTAAACGACGATATGTATAGCATGTACTTACGGCGGCCGCCGTAGCAGAGTGATTACATGTGCGTACCCCACTCCATAGGACCATGGTTAAATACCTGGTCAGATCATAACCCAAAATAGCAGTCGTCCTTCGGCACGCAATGGCAAACCTTCGA